TTACGCTTAGTTTGTTTTGAAAATCGACTTACGCCTTTAAAGTTTTTATTTAAAAATATTTAAGTACTTAATATTTATGAAGTGAATGTATATAAAATATTATGTTTTATGTTTCAATGTAAAATCAATCCTTCATTACACATTTTTAAATATTTTGTTCCCTTGAGAACAAAAAATAAGTATACACTACGAAACAATAACTTACTCTATAAACCCTTTTGTCGAACAAAATTCAATCAGTTCTGTATAGCTTATCATGCATCTAATTTCTGGAACAAAACAGTTTTACCTAATTTTAATTTATCAATTAGCTTCTCAGTCTTTAAAAAGAAGTTAAAAAAAATCATTATTTTTAATGACAATATTTTGAAATACTTTTAAAAATAAGAGATTTATATAAAGACGTTCTTTTGTTTTTGCTTTTTTATTTGATTAAATTTATTAATGGCTTAAGTTAGATTTTATTATAACGTTTTATGGTTCTGGCGACAAGATCATTAGATTTTCTAACAGAGACCAAGTTTATATTTAAACTAGTCTATTTCTTTTTTTTTATGTTTTTTTTTATTTTCATTTTTTTTGATATGGTGATTATATTCTCTATTATAATTTATTAAAAGTATAAAAACTCTAATATTTGTAAATGTAAAACTTTTTATTAAAAAAAGGAAAATTTATATATACAAGATGTATGTATGTATGTGTAAGTGTTTGTATTTATATATGTGTATACATGTAAATAAAAATAAATAAATAAAAAATTATCAGAAGGGAACACATTGGTCAAAACAGCAATTTTTCAGTATCTACGTCTTTATTGATTGTCAAGAATTTGAAACGATTTAAAAGAAGAAAAAAAGTGATAATTTATTAAAACTGAAGAACGAACATTGAGATGAATTAAAGGAAGATGATTCAAAAGGAGAAAAAAAACATTTATTTTTTAAAAAACTGAAGATGTTTAACTAAAAATAACTAAAAATTTGAACAAATTTATACCCGGATATAAAAACTTGAAATACAATTACACACAATACTCGAAAAAAGCAATAGAAAGTTAAATATATGGATCCTCTTACCGAAATAAAAAAAATACCGATAAAACATTTTTTATTTACCGATAAGACAATTTAAGCCAGTAAACATTTATAAATGCAGCTAATTTCAGAGGGAATAAACATTTTATAAATGCAGCTAATTTCAGAGGGGGTAAACATTTTATAAATGCAGCTAATTTCAGAGGGGGTAAACATTTTATAAATGCAACTAATTTCAGAGGGAGTAAACATTTTATAAATGCAGCTAATTTCAGAGGGGGTAAACATTTTATAAATGCAGCTAATTTCAGCGGGGGTAAATATTTTATAAATGCAACAAATTTCAGAGGTGGTAAACATTTTATAAATGCAACAAATTTCAGAGGGGTTAAACATTTTATAAATGCAACAAATTTCAGAGATTGAAATAATCCTCACAATCAAGTTATAAAAATAAAAATGTAAACTGTATTACTAAAATATATTAAAACTGGAAAAAAAAAAATTTTCAACAGAAAATGGAGATAAAACAAAGTAACACTGTATTTTATAAAAAAAGTGTGTATTATGTTGTTATATTTCCAAATCAGGTTGAAGTAATTTAGACACCTGCACTTTAAACATTTCAATACAATTTCTTTAAAATTGTTATTAAGAAACTGTTGTTAAGAAAATATTTTTTTTTATTTTACGTTATTAGCTGAATTATTGTATATTTTTTTATTTTTACTTTTGGCAAAATTTTATAATATAGTTTATGTGTTGAAATACAGTATTTATTTTTATTGCCTAAAATTTAAAAATTCTTAAAACTGTAAGAAACACTTACATATAGAACTTAAAAATAATCAAAAAATACGTAACTTATCAAAATATTACTAATTACATTCTTTGGAATCAAATTGCATAACAAAATAATTTTGTTCACTTAGCTTATATAAAGTGATTCACTGTGCAGCCTCTAGATATTGCCTCTTTTAGGCCACAAAAACTATAATGACTTCGTTGAAAAAAATAAGTCATAGCGGTTTTGTGGGTTTTTCATCTGCAAGTAAAAAGTCTACAAAACTTCCAAAAGGACGTTTTTCATCATTTCTTAAAAAAGTCCTGGAACTAATAAAAGACAACATCTAATAAAAATTTGATATCAAGATTTGGTAAGTGTGAAATTTTACTTTGCGATAAAGAACGCTTTATTAATCGCCGATGCAAAATCGTCTCTTGATCTAAGTTTTATTTCTAAAGCATTTGAATGACAAAAGTTCAGGCCTTGGACTTTTTATATTATAAAGCACAAAAAAAAAAATTAAATGTTCAACCAGTAAAATGAATCTGTCCTTAGAAAAATTAGATGAGATATAGCAGTCAAAATTACTTTAAAAGCACCTTAAAACAAAAAAATGTTAAATGTAATATCTATAGTGCAACATCAGTGAATATAAGTATAAGCTACGTGCCTATAAATCTGATTAAAACAATTATTTTTAAACGTTAAATATTTATATAGAATAGTTACTGACCAAACAGTTAAGCTATTGTTTTATTATTACAGAACAAAAACAATATTTAATAAAATAAACGAAGTTTTTTATATTATTTCTATTTTTTATTTTACTTTACATAATATTTAGATCGAAGGGGCATTATAAGAATAAATCCTAAAGTAAATTTTAAAATAAATATTTGTTTTAACATTATGTATTTACTTGAGTAATTTGTAAGTAAATAAAACAAAACAACACAACAAGGCTTAAAGAAACACCAACCCAGGGTTGGTGTTTAGGCTATTATTATTATTACTTATACATTAGGCTACTTTTTAAAAAACTAACAGTTTTAATTCTATTTTATAAATCAATTAGTTCGAATTATAGGTTGATATCTTTATCAATAAGTTAATAAAAAAAATTGAAAAAATATTTTGAATATAGCAAAATTGATTTTAAAAACCAAATATCGCAATAAAGCAGTTCCAAGTAACCCACGTTACGGTTAATAATAATTAATAATGGATTATCAGCATTATTTATCAAAAATACTATTGAAAATAAATCGAAGATAATAATCAAAGATTAATTAAGATACAAGTATATACAAAGATTGTTCAAATACATACTTAGTTATTAAAGTTAACAAAACTATCTTCACTGGACTTAATATAGCGATTTATGTCATTATGTAGCTTACGGTAATTAGCGTACTCGGCTAAAATTGATTCAAAATAAAATTTTGTCTTTGTAAACGTATGCATCTTTTCCGATCCCGTTTGGTTCAAAAGTTGCTGAGAAGCCTGTCCCACAAACAAATTTTGAAGAGCCTAAAGACTGTTTTTGACATTTTTCGGCAAACATACGAGCATCTCGAATTCCAGAAAATACACCAGTGTATTTGAAATTTTGAAGTTCACTTCGGAAAAAACTGTCAATTTGCGGATCATTTTGCGGATAGCCGATTTGCGAATAGCCTTGGATTGAACCTTAAATTTAAATACAAATTATCAAACATAATTCAAAATTAATACTATAAATATTATAAATAAAAATTCTTAATTCATTACTAAAAAAAAGTTCTTTAAATATTTTATATGGGACAATTGTTCTGTAAAATGTTTCCTAGGCATGATTGTACTTTCTTTTTTAAGATCATCTTTTCATGAAGTCTTTTACAATATAAATTATATTAAAAGATAATTAAAATAACCAGTCAAAATAAATCAACATATATATAACTGTGCATATAAAAAATATATATATACTTTTTTGATTTCCGTTTGAAAAAAAAAGAGGCCATTTCAAAGTCAAATCAAAATTAGGCAAAACCTTCGACTATATAAACTGATAGACACGCCTTTCCGCAAGTTAATATTCACAAAACTTTAAAGCCAACATCTTTTAGCGCGTGACGTCACGTTTGGGCATTAAACAATTTATAATATCGGTTTAGAGTGAATGTATTTAACATTTTTAAAGTTTTATCATTTGTTATGTATATTATTATGTTTAAATTTTGATTTTCAAATAGAATATAGATATATAAAGCTCATGATGTTATCTTGTTTTGCATATAATTGCACTCAAAGATATATTAAAAGGGTTTCTTTTCATGTGTAAGTAGCTACAAATCATTATTTGCTAAGATCCTACATTATATTTCAAATATAAATAGCATAATATTTTAATACGCTTATTTTTGTTGGTAGTTTTCTGAAATATTTGGAATTGAGAAGAAAATGGATACAAGTTATGTGGAATGATGGTTTTACTCCTAGTAAACTGTCTAAACGTTGTGGTAAATATTTCACTGGTATGAAGGAAGTCTTTCGAGTTCAGAAAAAAACTAAAAAAAGATGCATCTTCTACTATATTTAATTTCCCAACATGTATATATATATATATATATATATATATATATATACATATATAAATATATAAATATATATATATATATATATATATATATATATATATATATATATATATATATATATATATAAATGTTTATATATATATATATATATATATATATATATATATATATATATATATATATATATATATATATATATATATATATATATATATATATATATATATATATATATATATATATATGTATATATATAAATGTTTATATATATATATATATATATATATATATATATATATATATATATATATATATTAGGGTGGTTTTTTTTTATATATGTTATAAAAACATTTAAGTTTAGTTTTTATAACATATATATATATATATATATATATATATATATATATATATATATATATATATATATATATATATTTATATATTTATACTGAAATAAATATACAACTGCGGCTGTTTAGCTAAAAAATGTTAATTAGAAAAAGCAAAAGTAGATGGCGTGGTGCCAGTGTTAAATATGTTATTTCCTTGTTAACTGTTGTCTGTCATTAACAAAGCAATTAAAAATATACACATAATGTCAACAGATTTATCTTTAGAACTGTTCGCAAAATTTTTGGTTTGGATACAAAAAACCGACTGAAAATGATACTGCAAAGGTACACTTTTTTATATCTAAACATCATTGCAACTATCTAGTCTTCATTTTTGTTTATGTATATTTCATCTGTGTTGCTAATGATATCGCCAGTTTTTATGCTTTTATGTTGCTAAGTAAAGCATCCTGATGTTTCAGGCTAAAATAGAGCTTTGACTAATACTTTTTGCTAGTTTAAATTAATAATAACTCTCAAGGTGTATTAGCTGAATTTTCTTTTTGTTTTGATAGTCTTTAGTCAATAACAGATTTTTAAAGTGTTATGAGTCTACAACACTTAATTTCAGCGAAATTCAATTAAGAAGTCATGTTGTAGAAGACAGAAAAATATCAATATCTGTTTTCAATAACTTGGCTTTCATAACAAATCTTAGAGGTGCAAATGTTTAGCTTGATTTAAGTACTACATAATAAAATACATCGTTGTACAGTCATTTTGATGGTTGTAAATTTATTTAGCACACTCATTTTTACATATTTTTAGACTGTTTACCGTTTGACCCCTGTCTCAATCTAACCTAGTGGGTTCAAAAAGAAAGGACCACGCTGGAAACATGAGTATCCACTCATGTTTCATGAGTATCCACTCATGTTTTTATGCTTTACAGTGCAGATCAGCCCTTTTTGAATTAATAGTCGGTAAGTATAATGTGCTCCACTCAGCTAATCAAGTTTCGTTTGCTTTTTTTGTATTACATTTTGGCAATAAACTGTTTTTATGTTCACTCGTTTTTTAGAAGTGGTAACCAGCTAGAAGTCGTAACCTGCTTGTATGAAAGGATTTCTCGACGTGAAATTGTTAATTTTATTCAACAACGCCAAGAAACAGAGCTCGCTCAAGAAACAGAAAAGAAAGAGAAAGATGAAAAAATATTCTGTTGAACAATACTATTGTTTTATTTATAAATTATTCTCCTATATAAAAAACATATAAAAGATGTAGAAAATGCTTCCTCTTTTATATTGACATCTAGAAGAGGTTTTTTTTTTGGCATCGGAAAAAGCTTTTTGTCATACTTTGTATAAAGAGCTATTACCATTTTCATTTGAAAAAAATAGCTTTTCATATAAGAAAAGTAGGAATGCTATAGTGTATAGGATACTATAGTATAGTAATAAGTATGGCAAAAAAGTCGTTCCGACCCGGAGAAAAAAAACTTTTTTAGAAGTGCATAATTGATAAACAAAGATGTCTTAAAGACGCATTTATATATGTCTTTTCATGACAAGATAAAGACAAAAAAGACGCATTTTCGATGTCGAAAAAAGATGTTGTTTAGATTTGCATATTCGACTGAAAAAAGGCGTCTTAAAAACGCATTTTTTATGTCTTTTCATGACAAGAATAAGATAAAAAAGACGTTTTTTGATGTCGAAAAAAGATGTCTTTTAGATTTGCATATTCGACTAAAAAAAGGCGTCTTAAAGACGCATTTTTTATGTCTTTTTATGGCAAGTTTAACATAAAAAAGACGTCTTTTAGAATTGCATAATCGTTTAAAAAAAACATGTCTTAAAGTCATCGTAAATAAGACTTTTAAAGACGTGTTTTCGACGTCTTTTTTCCCACATAGAGTTAAATGTTTATAAATGTGTGTAGAAGAGTGTGTAAGTATCTATTTGTTATATTTTATTTGTCGATTAACAAAATACAATTTATATATTGTATTTTGTATAATAAATTTTAGTTTGTTATAATACACATTGTAATATACAAATAATGTTCATAATGCTAGCTGCAAACATTCTTTATTTGTTGTTGTATTTTTTTATGAAATTTTTCTTATTTTAACATTCTTGTATTATATATTTAACACTAATAGAATACTGATTAAGTAAAATATGTTAAGAAAAATCACACTAAAAGTCTTTTTATATTTGTAGTTATATAGGTATTATTGAATACGGTATATATGCAGTATGCAACATAGTCTTGCCTAAAAGGTGTTTCTTAATTTAACGAAGTTACGTAATTGCTGTATTTTAATAATTAATTTTTTAAATTATTTTAAAGCTGAGATAAACTACTTTTTGCGCCAGCATGTATATTTGTGTAAGTTTATTTTGTAACAATTTCTTATCGACAAAATAATTAGCAATAACAATGTACTCATAGCAAAAGATACATTTAACATTTTTTAGGAATGGTAGCATGCTACCACTGCTTGTTACTATCAGCGCAGTGGTTAGAGCTTATAACCAAAAGGTTTGAGGTTTGATACAGGTTCTAGACTAGGGTTTAATAAGGGGCATTGGTAAGAAAGGAGTCGTAAACTTTCTGATTAATGCTGCTCCACGGTGCTCTGCAATGTGACTAGTAGGTCTTCTTTAAGCACCTTCTCAATCTTTTCTAACAAAAAATACCTTCTCACCATCTCTAATAATAAAAAATAAAATGGTTAAATACTAGTATAATGACATGCTTTTTTGCAACATGGTTGTATACGTAAAATCAAAAAAATACGTAAAATCAAAAGTTGATAATACAGATAATTTTTCATTAACTAAATGAAAAGTGTTTGACCAATTTTTCTTCTTTAATGACAATAGTTTAGAGCCATTTTTTGTATGTTAACATGTGTTAAGGATCGAAATTTAAAAAATTGAATTCTTACAAAATGACACATTAAGGGTGAGACGCTGAGTTTTGTAAATATATAATTATGTTAAAATGTCAATTCATGATGGTCCTTACATAATTAAAAAAAAACTCATATGATCTATAAATTTTAGTTCTTTATATATCTTAAGATCTATAGATTTATTTTTATAAAGAGATATTTGCTGGGACGCATTTTTGAGGGATTTGAAATGGTTTCCGATCGGAAGAACAATAAAACTTCAAGTCTTACATAAATTTTTTGCTTCACCTGCCCTAAACGTGAGAGTAATCAGTTAAAAAAACACCTATTTACTATTTTCAACTAAGTTTGTATTCATTGATGAATTTAAAATTATATATAATAATCTCTTAGATAGAACATATAATAATCTCTTAGAGTTTAACAATTATGAGCATATAAAATTAGAACTTCCCCTCCCCTCAACCTGAGCTTTTTTTTTTTTTTTTTTTTTTACGGTATAACATATTTAGCCGTTGAAAAATGTTTACATTGCATATACATATATCAAAATTGATGGCTGGAGTAAGAAAAAGGTACTGTTTGCCTTCTCGCCTAGTTAATTCAGGCTGTTTTGGCAACCCCCTTGTTTGAATCGACCAATAATCGTGGCTACGCCTGTAAAACGTTTCTTCTAATATAAACCGTAAAGGTTGCTCTTAGTAGCATGTTGAATGATTGAGCAGCTTTGTTGAGTAAAAACTTTCCGCGTTTACATGTGGAGCATATAAAAAAAATCATTACACAGCAAAATCAAAAATTCTTGTTTAAGCAAAAAAAGTCTTAAAACAAGAAAAAAATGACTTGTCCGCCACGTAAGAATATTTTTTCTTGTTTCAAGAATTTTTATTCTTAAAATAAGAGTTTTTTTTCTTGTTTTAAGAACTTTTTTTCTTAAATATTTTTTTTTTCTTGTTTCAAGAATTTTTATTTTTAAAACAAGAATTTTTTTCTTGTTTCAAGAACTTTTATTATTAAAAAAAGAACTTTTTTCTTGTTTCAAGAGTTTATATTCTTAAAATAAGATTTTTTTTTTTCTTTTTCTTAATATAAGAATTTTTTTTCTTGTTTTAAGAATTTTTATTCCTTATATAAGAACTTTTTTTCTTGTTTCAAGAATTTATATTCTTAAAATAAGATTTTTTTTTTCTTTTTTCAAAAACTTATATTCTTAAAATTATGTAATTTTTTCTTGTTTCAAGAATTTATATTCTTTAAAAAAAATCATTTTTTACTTGCTTCAATGTTACTTTTATTTCAAATAAGATTCTATTTACTTTTTCTACGGAAAAAATGAAACATTATTTTGAAATTAGGATGGTATATTATAAGAATACTCAAAAAGCATTTATACATTTAAACAACAAATCTAATCGTTGAAATAACAAATTGTTTTTTGGAATGTTTATTATTGTTCATGCTTGTAGCGGCAATACTCCTCCCATGTCCACGACAAGTGTATTCCAATAAGTTTCATCACGAAGTCAGAAAATGAAAAAGCTTGAAAAAAATGAAAAAAACTTCATAAAATAATCTTTTGCAACACATAATAATCACTTCGTCTCCATCGTCTGTTACGTACAGATAAGGATTTTTAAATCTAATAATAAATTTTACAAACTCAAAATTTATATATATATGTATATATATATATATATATATATATATATAAATATATATATATATATATCAGAGCCGTAACCACAATTTTAATATTAGGGGGGGCCCATATTACATATTGAGGTTCTTTTTTTTTTATGTACCCATTTTAGGGGCCCAGAGATAGGGAGAGACCCAAACATAGCATGGGAAAAGCCCCCAAATTCGAGAACTATAGCCTATAGTTCTTTTAAAGGAGGGAGGGGGTAAAATATTTGTAAAATATGTAAGTTTTTTCTTAATAATTGTAGTTTAAAAATTTTTTTTGGTAGGCCTAAGCCCCCATGGCTTCCCCGGTGGGTACGGCTCTGATATATATATATATATATATATATATATATATATATATATATAATATATATATATATATATATATATATATATATATATATATATATATATATATATATATATAAATATATATATATATATATATATATATATATAAAAATATATATATATATATATATATAAATATATATATATATTTTGTTTTCATATATATATATATATATATATATATATATATATATATATATATATATATATATATATATATATATATATATATATATATATATATATATATATATATATATATATATATATATATATATATATATATATATATATGTATATATATATATATATATGAAAACAAAATATATATATATATTTGAAAACAAAATATATATATATAAATATATATATATATTTATATATATATATAAATACATATATATATATATATATATATATATATATATATATATATATATATATATATATATATATATATATATATATAAAATATATATATATATATATATATATATATATATATATATTTTGTTTTCAAAAAATCATACAAACTTACATCTTTTCTAAAACAATATGTCCAGTTTTAGTCATTTAAAAGTAATTGCAGCAAGTTTTTTATTAAATGTTTAACTTTAGTATCTAAAAACACATTCCATATTTAATTATTAATTGATTTCAATACATTATTGTACCTAACTCTAACCCTAAGCAAGCGAAAACATAAAAATGCCTGAGGTTGCCAATTTTTAGCTGACCTTGTTTTTGTCTTTTAAAGAAAAAACTTTGTAAAATGGCTTTATGCTTGCCAATTGAAATCTGATGCCAACCTAAAACATTTGGGTGGCAGTGGGCAACGAACTGCCAACTTGTGTATTCCATAATGCAAAAGTGTACCAATGTCTTCATTCTTGCTGAGTCAATTGTGACTTTAATACATGAGCTATGTTGCCAACAATCTGAATTAAATAATAATAATAATAAAAAAAACATATAACTTTATAAAGCAGAGAAAACTTATAGAATAACCCATTAGGGGATTTTTTACGGGGGATTTTTTCCCGGGGGATTTTTTCCTATATATATACATAGGCGCCCGCAGAAAATTTTCTAAGGGGGGGTTAAACATTTTTTGTTATTTTAAATAATGATAAAAAAGATAAAATTACAATTAAAACTCTGCAATATAAAATTGCAATATAAATGTATATATCTCTGTAATGTCCTCAAATTTTGATTTTATACTCCAGAGT